TAAGTTTGGATTGTTCCAATGTAAGGGTGGGACTTCATTAGCTCTTAAGTTACGTTTAAAGTCAACGATCTCACAGGATAAGTTTCGATTGTTCAAATGTAAGGTTGGGAGTGCATTATTTCTCAACTTTCGTCTACCAATACATTCCTGTTCGAAATGCCTGCTACATATTTTAGCCCTTTTAAAGTCACGATTATTCGGCAAATTGCATATTTTAATCCACTTGTTTAAATGAGAAGTTTTTAAGGGAAAGCTAAATAGTTTAATCGGATTATTCTCAGTACTTTTCCTGTAGCTAGCATCACAATTTTCTATTATACATTTACAATCACTTTTTCGTGTATCCTTTCTACCTTTATTCTTCACACTAATACCAGTCATAGTTTTTTGTTTTTTTTTTTTTTCTTTTCAATTACTTTCAAGATATGTCACTTTTTACAACAGTAAAATCTTTTAAAGATCACAAGATAAACCGTTCAGTTGCTAGGTCTAGTGTCAACTTAAGTGACATGACTTTATAACATCTAACTGAACAGTCTTTTAAAACGGGTCTGTTTAATCTGCGTATGTAATATATGTGTATATTTATTTTCCGGATTGTGCGTTGATGCTGACTCCGCGCTTGTTAATAACTAAGAATCAGCTGGCACGGCGATACATCAACAGCTGCGACGTTCACTCGTGAATGACGACATTAGACGACACGAAGCTATCGATACTTTTGCCATACGTGCTCTTGCTGTTGAGAAATTAATGTTATTTATTTAAAATTCAAATTTATAGATACCAATGAAAATGAATCGCCTAAAAGCCAATGTCAAAAAGACAAAAACTAAAATAAATATTTTTAATATAGCAATCAAATTTTTGTATTTATTGCTCGATTAAATAAATCGAAATAAATAGATCATTTGTTTTTGTTATTAGTCACATTTTTTATGATAAAATACAGTGCTTATTAATATAAATTAATATACAAATTTAAAAAATTAGTTATTTTGCTTATGAATGACTGAATAGCTGAATAAATTTGCTGTTTAAATTATAGAACAGCTCTACAAAAATAAAAGAACGATTTCTCAGCGGCCAGCACGCGGATTTCGATTACACAGCCGTCGATGCTAACGCCCAGCTGGAAGATCTAAATGAAATTGAAAGAGATGAAGAGGATGCCTGCTTTGATTCCAGTGATGGAGACGATTTGTTGATGAGGATACTATGGAGGTATCAGCTGGAAGTAAAGCGAAATCTGAATTAACATCACAGTATGCATCATTATTTTCTTTATGTTTTAGCTGCAAGCCTACCTTTAGAAAGTGTACATCTGATACTTCGCCAGCTGAGCTTGAATAGAGACCAAACAATTCGAAACGTGATGATCCAGGCAAAAAAAAAATGTTCAATGATATGAATGATAGGTTTCTGAAAGCATCTGTTCTGCGCTCCCTCGGATATAATTATATCGCCGTCGCTGTTGCCCATTAGTGTTCCTTTCCTTAGTGCGTTGGATTACCAACCAGGCTTCTATTTGTTATTGCATATCCAGTAGATGTTCTCATAACGAGGAAAGCCTCAATGATGACCTAAACCCTCCGATGAACCTGACCGCAGAACGACAAACGAACAATGTTCAGCTATTTCGCCAACATCCATATCTATATATATAAATATAGAAAGACTATTATATAAATTTTTTAAGCTTCAAGTGTGCAACTCACTCAGTATATCATCCCAGTTCCAGAAGACTCGTTGTGCTCCGCCCACTGTCGCTACAGCGGGTGCTACTCGAGCATATTCCTCAAGCGGTGGCTCGATGAGAATAACGTCAAATTTACTGCCCAAGGTTTTCATATCTGCTTTCAGATACATGGGCGCCGATGCAGTGTCTTAAATGAGTTTATCAGCTTAATCAGCTCACGCAGTTACGGATATTCCTGGAAGCGATCGGCCAGTTCGATGTCGCGTATAAAATTCTTTGGCCTTTGACCGGTGTCCACAAAATGCTGGCAATAATCATTGTACGGATTGGAAGACTGAGTGACTTTCAGAAGGGTTGAAGAATCTGTATATGATCTCGTTTGGTTTCCTCTTGGACGACACAGCGCCGGCGACGGAGGTTTCCTCTTCGTCTGCCGGCAGCCTCCGATGCCGGTGCTGCTGCTTCCGTGTAAAGTATCGATAATACTTTACATTTATATGAATGTATATATAGATATGAATGAATGGGATGTGGGCGCTGGCGTGTACTTAGCTCAGCTTTGAATTGCTTGAACAATTCCCAGTGTTAAATGAAATGTCTCTGTCTTTAGAGGCCTGCTTTAAAGCAAGATACCTTTTTTTTAAACTAATATACTTTTCCTGTACTCTTGTAAGCTCTATTCCGATATTATAATATTTTCTTCTATAGTATACCTCATTTTGCTCTTTCTTTATACAATTTGAGCAATAGGATGAGCCATCAACGTCGACTAAATCTTGATTTTTTGGCTTGTTCTTAAAGCTCAATAAAGTATCTACAGATTCTTCGTCGGCACATTCATTTTTCATATCATTTTCAATCCGAATGTTTTTAATATTCTGTTCTTCTTTTTCTTCCTCTTCCGTTTCCTCTTCGTCACTGCCTACTAAAAAAATTGCATCCCTAAAGTCGTCAATATCATAAGAGAAGTTTGGTTTGCACAAATTTAAGGTTGGAATTGCATCGGGCGTTACTTTTCGACCACAAATATATTTCTCTTCAAAGTGCCTGTTACAAATTCTAGCCCTTTTAAGATCCAAATTATTGGATAAGTTGCATTTTTTAATCCACTTGTTCACATTAGATAGTTTTGTTGGAAACGAAAATAATTTAACTGGATTATTTTCGAGACTTGTCCTATAGCTCGCACCACATGATTCTATTAAACATCTAAGACCATTTGCTTGTCTATATTTACGTCTTATATTTTTCACATCATCATCAGATTTTTTTGTAACATCGTTTTCGGCCATAGTTTATGAGAAAAATATCGGTATCTATTTAAATGCAATCTCGGTTTGCAACAGGAAAAACACAAAAGATCGCAGATTGCGCGTTAGTTAGTAGCTGACGCCGCTTTTTTTTTTATAACTAGGAACCAGCTGGCGTGATGAATAAAAGACCTACATCACCTATCGATATTTTGTTTCTGCTCGTGTTACTGACAAAATATGTACATGTTGGTATTTAAAATTCAATCAATGTATGCAAGATTTCAGACGACCATCTGATAATATGTATATTATATTATTATATTAATTAATTAAATTTTGTTTTCATTATACGAATTTAGAAAGCCTATAAATTTCTGAATAATTGAACAATTTCTGTTCCTTTTGAATGACTGAATAACTGAACAAGTTCATCTGCTCAAATTACAGAGCTATTCTTGACTAAGAAATATTCATTGCGAATGCTAAAGTGTAAGAAGAAGAATTTGTTTACATATATTTTATTTCATAAGATGACACAAACAGAGACCTCGAATTGCGAAGATTGTTCAGAAGTGGTTGAATTACCAGATCAACTTATGGGTATATTCAAAGCACTTGCCGAAAATGCAAATATTATTTTTAAGTCTCAACAAATTGACGATCCGGAGTTAAATTTGGAAGAAAAGCAACAAATTGCGCAAGATGCATTTCAGAAAAGTCGTGAACATTTTTTAATACGATTTGGCAGCTACCTAACCGAGCAACAATTAAGCGATTTTCAGACTGTGGGTGTAACAGAACCCATCAAACCCAATGAGAATCTTCAAGAAATTTGTCTGCTGCTCGATGATTTTAAAAGGAAGCTGGTATCACGAGGCGTTTGCATCAAGAATAGGAGATACCATGCCATGCAGCAGCTGTTGCAGCAGGGCGAATACTTCAGCGAGCACGAAATGATGCAGCGTGCACCGGAGCTCTACCAGGAACTGGTCGGCCAATACCTAACGGAACAGGAGAAGAAACAACGAGACAGTTACGATGTAAGGAACACAAGCTTCTCAGGCATATTAATGCATACGTTGGAACAGAAACAGCGCGAGGAACTGCTGCAGCAAAAGGTTGACATCAACACAGAGATGCATGAGCCGCCCACAGCGAACGTGGAGTGTGAAGTACCCGCCGCATGTCGCCAGCAATGGGGAGGCTTCGAAGACGACGAGCCCGTGGCCTGCTCCTCAAGTCGAAATACTCAATCCCCTTTAGCTCCAAACAATCATATTGTAACGGCGGAGTATTATAATCCAGGTGAAAGGGAGCTGCTGCGCAACGAGTTTATGGGATTAATGAAGGAACGCTTTCTCAGTGGCCAGGACACAGACTTCGATTACACAGCCGTCGATGATAACGCTCAGCTGGATGATCTAAAACAAATCGAAAGAGACGAAGAGGATGCCTACTTTGAGTCCAGTGACGGAGAGGATCCCGTTGCAGCTGCTGCTGCTGCTGCTGACGATACTGTACTGGATGAGGGCGAGGATGATCTGGAAGTTTACATGCGACATCTAAATCAACATCACAGCTTGCAGCATTAGTTTGTTTTTATTTTAGCTTTTATCCTAGCATTAGAAAGTGTACACAAAGTGTAGGTTTACTTTAAACTTAAGATGATGGATATGTTCCAGATCAATCGAATGGGACAATATCGCACTTAATTATATAAAATACATGCAGATCAGTGGTTATTATCTGGGTCTGCCACGACTGCGTGGAAAACCGCGTCCTCGCCCCCGGACCTTACTATTTGGCGGCGGACTCTTTGGTCGCAGCATCTCGATACGGCTGGTGCAGCCCGTGGCGGTGCCATCCGCAAAATAGGACTGATATTGCTCGGCGTTGAAATTGGAATTCGTCAATTCGGGTCCGACGGTTAGCCAGCCGGGCCGTATGCTCGAATCGCGGCCAAACAAATGTAAACGTCGACGACCCAGGCAAAAGTGTTCAATGATATGAAAGATTTCGATGGGTTTCTCAAAGCTACCGAATTCCTCCTCCTCGGATATAATCAGATCAATGTCCACATTGGCGTGTATAAAGTTGCCATCGCTGGAGCGTCGAACAGTACCCTTGATGCCCATCAGGCAGTGTTCCTTGGTGCGTTGGAATACCGATTTGGGTATGGCTTGCTTGGAGTGACCAGGTTTATTGATGTTGGTGCGTATCCAGCAGATGTCCTCGCAGCGACGAAAGCCCCACTTCTTTAAGCAATTCCGACCCTGATCCAAGCCCTCCGATGAGCCACACCACAGAAAGACAAACGAACGGTGTTCAGCTATTTCGCCAACATCCAAATCTATATATATATATATAGAAAGAATATTATATAAATCTCTAAAAGATTCAAGTGTGCAGCTCACTTAGTATTTCATCCCAGTTCCAGAAGACCCGTGGTGCTCCGCCCACTGTCGCTACAGCGGGTGCCGCTCGAGCATATTCCTCAAGCGGTGGCTCGATGAGAATAACGTCAAAYTTACTGCCCAATGTTTTTAGATCCAACGTCTTAAGATCTGCTTTCAGATACATGGGCGCCGATGCAGTGTCCTGGATTAGTTTATCTTTAAGCTTAATCAGCTCACGCAGTTTCGGATATTCCTCGAAGCGATCGGCCAGTCCGACGTCGCGTATAAAATTCTGTGGCCTTTGACCAGTGTCCACAAAATGCTGGCAGTAATCATTGTGCGGATTGGAAGACTGAGTACCTTTCAGAAAGGTTGAGGAATCTCTGTATATGATCTCGCTCGGTGTTTTCTTGGAGGACGAAGCACCGTTGCCGGAGCCTTCCTCCTCATCCCTTTGACCAGAAGCATTGAGCTGCCGGCTTCCACTGACGCCGGCATAATTATTGCTATCTTCTGCATTACCCAGCACCTTTTTCAGCTCATCAACACTAGACAAGCCCAGCTATACAGTTTTAATAAATTAGGCATTTAAAAAATTCATGAAAAAAATCCGAGGTTGAAAATTTACGCCTACTCACCGTTTGGGCCAGCAGCAGTCTACGTTTACGCGAACGCTCTTGTGAGCTCTTCAATACATCACTCATTACAAACAGTGCTGCAGCGGCACACGAAAATAAATTAATGCTTAATTTAAATTAAAAATAAAGACAAATAAAAATTAGTCGACCAACGCGTCTCGACAACGCGAATAGTTGACGGTGGAGATGTACGCGGCACAAGATTAGCACGAGCACGCATAGCAATGTTCAGCACGCACCACCACTAGTTCATATCAATATATAGAAAAAGAAGCACAACGACAGTCTGGCAACGCCACTGTCTCTGCTACCATTCACAATCAGCTGCTACAAAAAACTTTTTGTTCTACATTAAACGCGAGCGCTGTAATTTTGGCTTGGAATTAGTGAAAAAATTTTAACGCAAAAATATATCAAAATGAAGCTGCTGCACAAGACAATCTTGTGCACGCTTATAGCGATGGTCGGCTGCCTTATATTTGTCGCCGCACAGAGTAAGCAACAGAAGGTATGTACACAACGCCCGCCTATGGGCCACGTCACATCGAATTGTATACCGGTTCCGGTTCCGATTCTAGCTTGCCGGCAAGCCTCTTTGAAATGATTGTAAACACTAATTGTTTTTTGAATTGCAGTCGGGTCTGTCTCTGTCGGAGAAGGTTCAGAATCTGGTGGATATGAACATGAAGAAGCCCCTGTTGCGTTTTAATGGAGCCAAATTCCGCGAGTATGTGAAAAATACGCCGCGCAACTACTCAATGATTGTGATGCTCACGGCGCTGGCGCCTTCGCGGCAATGCCAAATTTGTCGCCATGCCCATGACGAGTTTAGTATTGTGGCTAACTCGTATCGTTTCTCGCCAATCTACTCCAATAAGCTGTTCTTCGCAATGGTCGATTTCGATGACGGTTCGGATGTCTTTCAAATGTTGCGTCTTAATACCGCGCCGGTGTTTATGCATTTCCCCGCCAAGGGCAAACCAAAGGGTGCGGATACTATGGATATTCATCGTGTAGGCTTTGCTGCCGATTCAATTGCCAAATTTGTGGCCGAACGTACAGACATCACAATACGCGTATTCCGTCCTCCCAACTATTCCGGCACAGTTGCCATGATTACTCTGGTTGCCCTCGTGGGCAGTTTTTTGTACATACGCCGAAACAACCTGGAATTTTTGTACAACAAAAATTTATGGGGTGCTGTGGCGTTGTTCTTCTGTTTCGCCATGATCTCGGGTCAAATGTGGAATCACATACGTGGACCACCGCTGGTGCATAAGACACAAAATGGAGGCGTCGCCTACATACATGGTTCATCGCAGGGCCAGCTGGTCGTGGAGACGTACATTGTAATGTTTTTGAGTGAGTGTTGATTGGGTGCGATTAGTATCGATTGTCTTCTATTTACTGCCTCTCTTCGTCTTTGCAGATGCTATGATTGTGCTGGGCATGATTCTGTTGATCGAATCCGGCACCCCAAAGGCTCACAATCGTAATCGCATGATGGCGATGGCTGGTCTAGTGCTTTTAACGGTATTTTTCTCATTTCTGCTTTCCGTATTCCGTTCCAAGGCGCAAGGTTATCCATATAGGTAAGTCTCTCTTTCTCTCTGATCATAATTACGAAGATCATTATTCTGGCATTTTTCGTTTGCAGCTTCTTGTTTAAGTAAAAATTGAAGCCCCAAATGAGGTTATTAACGTTTTATAAATAGTTCAAATTCCAAAACAAAAATAAAAACCACACAAAGATCACTAAAAACACGTTTAATAAATAAACCAAACGACCTATACGAGGTCAAAGTGGAACGTTAATGTTTAATGTATAATAAATTAAAAATGATTCGTAATTAATTTTACAGCAAGAATGGTATGATGGCATGTCGCCTCTTGGGGTAGTCCTTGAAGTTCTCTTTGTACCATTGATGGGTGAGCAGGGCATTGATCGTCTGATTGCTGGCCACCCAGATGAAGATCAGTTTCCAAGTGATGATTGGTGTAAAAAGATCCGCGAGACAGTAGTACATGACCACTTCGAAGAACATGTGGGGAGAAGATATCCAATTGAACCAACCGCCCTTGGGCATCAAGTGCTCCTCGGTTTGCACGGCGCCCGTCTTGGCATTCTTGCGCAGATTCACAAGCAACATATTGCTTGAATATTGTTGAAGCCATGCGAAGAGGAAGACGAGCACATAGGCTGTTTGGAGCAGACTGATCTTAGAGAGCGTAAAGGGTGATGGCTTTGACCCCCTCACAAAGCCAGCCGTGTTGGCCAGCAGAGCGACAATGGCTCCGAAATAATGTATAAAACCCACGGCATAGTGTGACAGATTCATCTTACTGCGCTTGGAGAAGATCTGCACAAAGTTCGTCTCGTAGAAGCGACGCACGCACTGCAAACTAAGCAGCGAAGTGCCTATCAGAGCGGTGTTGGAGTCCACTTGCACCTGGCGCTGACTGCGACCACCACACATGAAGTCCAGAAAGCGAAGCACATACTCCGGCGCTGTTGCTTGATTCCAAATGGCGCTGGTGATTAGATAGAGCGCCAATAGCGACCAGCCGAAGGCAAATACATAAAAGTGGCTAAACCAGGCCTTGGGAACTTCCAAGTAATTCACCAGAGTATCCGTTTCGCCCTTGTGACTATGTTTGCCATAACGAAATGATTGACGTATGCTATTTGGCAGGTGGGATTCCACAAGGGTCATCAAACTGCCCAGCAAAACGATCGTGATAATAAAAATTATGAAAATCGCTTGAATTAGATTGATTTTGTACTGATCTATTAGCTCCTCCAGGGAGCCAATTAATGCCAACACCATTTTAAACAGCACGTAATAATTTGATGTAATATATTTATAGGAATAAGGCCACGACTTTCACCGCAAGCAAATTGTTTATCAGTTGAACTACTAAACTCTGTGCTGCAATGTGAATGGCAAATGTGCTGTCTGTCTGGCAGAGCTGAGTTAGAGCGCGGCTTTCAAATGTGTTAATTGTGTGTATGGCACAGCCGTCTAAAACTAACAATATAAGTTGGCATTGTTCATAATAGTGATGTATACCAAATAATTGAATTCTCTTATTAATTTCCATAGTATGACAATTCCATAACTAAGATTAATAAATAGCATTATGAGAAATGTTAATTTTTCACTGTGAATGGCAATTATACATGACTACTGCACTGAATTGGGCGCGTATTTCAAAAAATAAAAAAAAGTCCAACGTGCTTTCAAGTAATTGAGCTATCCATCAAACTTGTTATTTATTTGAAACAGAGCTAAAAATTAAACTAAATTTGCTACGCATACTGTAAGATAATTGATATATATGCATTATTCGATGCAGTTGTGATAAATGGACAACTTGTGATATATACGTGAATTGTGCTCCAAATGGCAATTGTAGTTGATTTCTCGTTGTGTATTGCTTTTTGATTTATGGGCAGCGCCTTTAGCAATAGAGCACGCGCGGCGATGTTTGTCAAATGTCCACGCCATTGCGACCCAAAGTGCCGCCCTTATACGGCGGAGGCTTGGGGCGGGCGTATATGCCCGAGGCACCTGTATCCAGCTGATATAAACTATTGTTTGGACTGCAATTAAGTGTCATTGATGATACATCAATACTAAAGGTATTTAAAGTTACAAACCTTTGTGAACGCATGCTGGTGTTGTCGAGTAGAAAATTGGGATCCTTCAGGCTCTTCAGCGTTGTCACCGGCTGCATGGGCTTTGTGTCTGAGCACTGAACCATTTGCACAGTGGAGGACATGGGATATTCTATGTGGACTGAGCTGTAAGGGAGGTGATAGTTAATATTAGTGTATTAATATTTTAAAATTTAAATAGACTATATATTCAACACAAATGACCTGCCCTCATCAACATCCGAATCGTTGGGCGCTGCAGCACAAGTCTCTTCGCATATATTAAAGATATTTGCAAAAAATAACTCTGATTGCGGATCGTAACTGAAGAGAAAATCAACAAAAATAAGAAAAAGTAAATTATATAGAAAAGAGATAAATGAGCTATTAAATAAAATATATAAAATATAAACTGTGGAAAAAGTAAAAACTAAAATGCAAAATTTATGTTTTAATGTATATGTATGTATATACATTATACATTATTAAAAATCTAAAATATGTTTTATATGTTTTGTTTTGATAACAAATTTGATAAATCTTATTGAATATATGCTACTTTACCCTCAAGACTCACAATTTTTGATGCTGAAAGCAGAGTACGGCGGACAATATGCCCACGAGGACAGCAAAGATCATCCCGGGAATGGCAAAGGCGAAGGCAAATTCATCAATGTAATTGCGGATGGGCACATCTTCGCGCGGTATGCCTAGCCAGCGCTCCTGTTCCCGTTGCAGCTGCTGATGCCGATGCTCCTTGAGCTGCTCTTTGACACGCCCATGATTGTTGTGGTAGAGCACCTCGGTGGGTGACTCGATGCCCACCATCTTAAAGGCGCACCAATCCAGCTTAAAGCCGACGTTTTCGAAAATCTTTTGCACTGATGTTCGTTTGTACGTGCAGGAGGGTAGCTTATACAGTGGGCGAACTTCCTCCTGAAGCTCCTTGAGACGCGGCGAGAACTGAGCAAAGCTGCCCACGTGTACAATGACGCTGCAATGGGTGGAATAGTGAAATTATTTAAATAAAGTGGTCCAAATTCGACTACTCTTCGAACTCACCCCTCCCGCTGCTGTGGTCGCAGGGGTAGACGACCGCCCATATTAATGGCAGACTCCATGAAAACCACACTCAAGTCGTCTTTGCTATCCGGCCAGAGGTCCTTGCGGAATATGTTGCGCAAGTTCTCCACACGTCCCGGATCCATCAAGTGCACCCAATTCAAATTATCTATTTTCATTTGCACCACATTGGGCGTTATGAACTTATGGGCCACAAACATCGAAATAACCAGTTGGCGAGTTTCATAATTTTGCCTATTTAATGCGATCACGTCGAGATTCAGGGTCTTCCCAGCAGCCGGAACGGGGGGCGTGCCGTAGAGGAAGCCCGCATGATATTCATGGCTATACATATAACGCATCCAGCTGGGCAAATCGGGATAGTGTTGAAGCGAGGGTCTATAGCGAAATTGTTCGCTTATTACTTGATGGGTCCAATTGAAGAGCTGCGGCTCGATTTTGAACGTAAAAAGTTCGCCTACATTTGCCTGTAAATGTAGGTTAAATACGCTGCTGCTAGCTACACCCAAACAGCCCACAAATACTAATAGCAAATGCATTTTTTGTTTTAAATTTAATTTCACTAGCACAATTTACATTAGCATTTTGTTAAACAAACGGTGCAGAAAAATTGGTCAAGTGTGTATCTAGCTGGTAGCTGGCTCACAGCGCAGGCGCAGTAAATAGCAGCAAATATAAACATCAAAACACCTGTTGCGCTAAGTCAGTTAATAATACTAAAATTTTACATAATAACATCAATACAAGAACACCCGTCGAAATCAATAATAAAATTAAGCTCACAGCAGCTTAGTTTCAAATCTAACGAAATATTTCATTATAGTAATTATCTGGCAGCACTATTTAAAAAGATATCGAATTCCATACTTTTATATCAATTGATATAATTATTAATTATTTTTATTGATCAAAGTATTTATGTACTGAAAAATTATAAAAACATATTATTAGAGCTAGCTCTGAATAATTTTCATTTGCAATTTAAGCGCAGATTTTTCGTAGCTTACAGTCTGGCAGCACTATAAGTATCGATACCGTGTGATTCGATAGCCTTTGTTGACGGTCGTATAAGTGTTATCAGCTGCCGCTAACGCAAAGTTGGCACAAAATACGTGGCTTTTTATCCGTATTTTTGCGGTAATTCAAAAAGTTATGATCTACCATAGATAGCCATTCGTTTAATTGACATAACTAGATAACAATATGTTGATCCTATTGCTGCAAGTGGGCTGCTATCTGTTGGCCGGTGTTGGTGCAGCTGCCTTGTTGGTATGTGAATATTTACGAGATTGATGATCGACGTATGGTTTATATCTCTTTTTTGTTTTGTGCAGGCAATATTGGTTGCGTTGTACAAATCCAAACCTTATCCTCTTATAACGCGCCACAAGGACGAGAAATTCTTTTTGGATACTGACACAATTAAAACTGTTGAATTTCCCAGTTTGGATGACTCGCCCACCTTGGAGCTGAGTGTCATTGTGCCGGCTTACAATGAGGAGCAGCGATGTTGGTTTGCCCATTTTCGATAAAAGTTTGTCGTGACTAATTATCTCATTATCTTTTTTTGTTAGTGCCCGCCATGCTAGACGAGTGCATGGCATATCTAGCACAGAAGACGGAAAAGCAGCTGGATTTCAGCTACGAGGTAATTGTGGTTAGCGATGGCAGCAGTGATTCAACGGTCTCGGTAGCTCTAGAATACTCAAAGAAATATGGTGCAAATAAGTTTCGTGTGCTGGAGCTGGTGGAGAATCGTGGCAAGGGTGGAGCCGTGCGGCTAGGCATGCTAAGTGCACGTGGTCGACAGCTGCTTTTTGCGGATGCCGACGGTGCAACCAAATTTGAAGACTATGAGAAACTAGCTGAGGCCTTGGCTAGCCTAGCTCCGGAGTGGAGGCACGATGGTATAGCCATTGGTTCTAGAGCTCACCTAGAAGATGAGTCAATTGCCAAGCGCAGCTTTTTTCGGTAAGCCAATGAGGAACAACTTTTGGATTCCATTAATATATTTTATTTAATTCATTTTGTAGTACAATATTGATGCATGGCTTCCATACGCTTGTCTGGATATTTGCGGTGCGATCTGTGCGGGACACCCAGTGCGGATTTAAGCTATTCACCCGTGCCACAGCCCGCAAACTGTTCAATAGCTTGCACGTCGAACGCTGGGCATTCGATGTGGAGCTGCTCTACCTGGCTGAACGTCTCCAGTTGCCCATGACGGAGGTTGCGGTACGGTGGACAGAAATTGATGGCTCGAAATTATCGCCTTTTTGGTCGTGGCTGCAAATGGGCATCGATTTATTTATGATCTGGCTGCGATACATGGTGGGCGCTTGGCGTATTGTCGCTAGCGAGAAGAAGAAGAACTAGGTGTTAAAATATCGAAATAATTGCTAAGTGCGCGCATTTAAATTGTAATTGTTTTTGTTCTCTACTAACTTAAACTACTAAACATACAACACGTTAACTAGACATCTAGACATCTAAAAAGCTTATTAAATTAAGTGCACAGTATTCGAAAAGTTTGCATTTGATTTTTAACTGAATTATTTATTAAAACTGTAACCGTGGGCAAAAAAGTTTTGTAATAATATGAAATTATTATATATCAGACAGTCTTATAGTTTTTATTGATTATTTATATTTCTCACTGCATTTCAATACTAGCCAAACTTAGTGATTTCAATATTTATTTATATTTGGCAATTTAAAAATTTTGAAAACGTCGCGATCGATAATTGAATGCATCACTTATGTGTCTAATGTGGTGGTCATTCGATTGCACTCGTTTAACAAAGCATCGATATCAGATAGCAGTACAGGTTCCATCGTATATCAATTAATCGATAGCCGTTTCAAAGTTACGTCGCGTCGGCGCATTCACAACACATAACAGAACAACAGCGCGCTTAAAATTAATAATTAATATTAATATTACAAATTTTGAAACTTTTAAACGCGGCTACTTCAGTACAGTTCAGGTCAAGCTGAAGTATTAAAATGTACTTGCTCTGAATATTCTGCATATCAAAAAGCCGCCTGTTGCGCCTGTGTTTCTGTGTGTTTATGTGTGAAGTCCTCATATGTTTGAGCGCGTGTGAGTGTGTGTGAGCACAGCTGAGCCTTCTCCGCGGAATTGTTTATAATATATTTTTTTTGCCCGCTACTTGGGCCGAGCAGTATGCAAATGGTGTCAAAGCCGGTCGAGTCGCAGTCATTGTTATCGCCGCCGTTGTGGAGCGTGCGCGACGCTTAAACGAAAGTGATTTGTTGTTATTAATTTCGTTTGTTGAATGCGCTTCGATCGGTCATTGCTTCAATTGCTCAATCAACGGCACTTGTGGTAAGTTTGGCACACATATTGACTCCTCTTGCCCCCTCCCACTCCCGTTGGTGTCTCACTCGCAGCTCGAATTACATTTATTTTCTTTGTTCTTGTTTAATTTTTATTGAATTTGCTTTATCACCATAAATAATATGGGAGTCGAGCTGCATGCAAAATCAAAATACACAAAACCAACTAGAATTTACAGTTGCGCTTGCTGATAAGACCACCCCCCCCCCCCTCGCAAACCAATAAGAACACATACTTATACATACATATGCCAATCAGACCATGCTTTGTCACTTGCCTTCGAGTAGTTGCTTTTTTCCTCGTCTCATATTTGCGTTTTCTTTCCGCTGCAAACCCGTTTTTTGGTTGCGTTTTGTTAAAAAATTCTTTCAAAGGTCGCGCAGAGCGTCAAACGCCAACGCAACACCCGCCCCCGTTAAATGCTATGAAAAAAGTTGCGAGTATCAACAGAAAAATCAAAACTATTGCAAAATAAAAATTTAAATAAAAAATAAAAAAATAAGAAAATTATTAATAAGCAAGAGAGGCATGAAAATTAAACGCAGCTATTTGCGTGGCGAAATTCAAACATTGTCGTCTGCAGCTAAATCTTTCCTGTCTGTGTGCGCGTGCGTGCATGTGTGTGTGCCAGGGCCATGACCACGCCCGCTTTTGCCAAAACGCGTTGACTCTTGTCTGTTGTTGTCTGCGGCTGCCTGTGCCGTTGCCATTGCTGCTGCTGCTGCTGCTGCTGCGCTGCTATCCCAAGTCCAGGCGACGTCGCTGTCGGCGTCTGCGTTTGCTTCTTCGCCTGTGCCTGTTCATGCCTGAGGCCAAGATTTATGCGATTTTTGCGCCGTCGCCGTGGCCGCCGTTGCAATCATTTAGCATTGCCTACTCTAGAATACCCTGTAATTTTTGAAAAGCAGTGGCTATGTATTGCTAAATGGCTAGTTTTTTTTTTTTTTTTTTTTTTTTTTTTGGTAGAATTTGAATGTTAGTTGATCAAGGGGATTTGATGTCTAATTAACTAAAATATTTGTAGATAATAGTAAATATACTATCATATTATTAAAATATTTTTTTTTGTATAGGGCATGATTCTGTTATTGCTTTAGTGCTGAGCAAATCCTATATGGCTGAGCCTCTCAACGCTCTGCTTGATTAAAGTGCCACGCATGAACGATATGTAAACGCGGCTTGTGGGCGGGGCAGTGTGAGAGAGGCGCAGGCGTTGTAGTTATTGTTGCTGCATCATTGTTGCTGTTGTTGTTGTAGCTGTAGATATGCATTTGTCGCTTTTGTTTGTTGATTTCCATGCGCAGCCGCAAGTTGCTTTTGTTGTTGTTGAAGTGCGATAATTCCATAGCTCCACATATCATGTGTGTCTGTGTGTGTGTGTGTATGTGTTTATATGTATACAATTTAGCCAATGCAAGTGCTGTCACTATAAATGGGGTATATTGAAATCATGCTAAAACATGTAACAAACAAAAGAAATGCATTTTTCTTATCTTATCTTTGAAAACATATAAACATTTATAATGAAGATTATTAATTAAGCTTTTGTGCGTTATACATATACATATATCATATTGGTATATTAATATTATTAGCATATAGCTGAGTTGTTGGAAATGTTAAATACTCTATGGTTGATATGTACAGAGATATGATTTGGAATAATTTAAGGCTCAAATTTTTAACTTTTGGAAGTATATAGATAGATATGCATGGGTTCAAAGCTGTACCCAAGGTATTAATACATAAATACTTAAATTCATACATATCTCTTTAATTTGGCATATAATATTATAATCCATTCTGCAGTATATCGATAACTTGTTTCTCTAAAACTAGTTTTTAGTTTGGTGTTAATCTTATATATGTATTTGGGTAGTCGCTTATGATGGGAAATGGAACAGTTTGTGACAATGTCTGCATATGAGCCATGCAACAACTCAATTGAAGCTATCTCTCGTATATCATTCTTTTGCTTAGATATGCAGTTTTGCATCACAAAAATCTTTAATTTGAATGAATCATTTCTGAACGAATCATTTGAATCAATTTACTCGTGAATCAACTAATTCGGCAGTTTGTTCGAATAACTATTCGTATTAATCAGATATTCCTTTACATACTTGTTCTCGATTAACACCTGAAAATGTGTAATATATCTCATATGTTTTCTTTAACTGTGTAATTGCTCTTCAATTATTGAACAATTCAATGGAACTATTGCTTGTAAATCCCTTCAATCAAACCATTAAAGTCATTTACTAATCATCTAAATGCACTAATGTGCAGGGCGTCTATAAGTCTTACTAATTCTATATACATACATTCATATTGGCATATGTATGTATGTATTCGCAACTTGGAACTGAGCCCAACGAGCCGTTTGTTTGCGCACACGCTTCGTTGGCAAGAACTGTTGGACTGGTCAAGCGATGATCAGCTTACACTGGGCTAATCCTTTAATCAGTTCTCCGCACAGGCTGCAACTGGTTTTCATTCGGCGTCAAGGTCAGTTGAAACAACGAGTATATGCACTAAATATATACATTTGTATATCTATATATATGTGTGTTTATTATAGTACATAGAGATACTCCACTGTCTAGCCGGTCGGCTTATTAATTGGCCATTTAATCGCTCGATTTGGTCCAGCTGAAAGCCTCTCTTTGTCTGTCGGTTCTTGGCTGGATCTCTGATTGATGCCTGTTGGTGTAACGCCCACTGCAATTAGCCGGGCTACTCAATTTGGCCACGGTCAATGGCATACGGTTCGCACGCCCACAGATCGTGTTTTTGTGTTTGTTTTGTTTTGCTTAACTGATTTATGTGACGAGGCGTTGTCGCTTGTAAACCAAACAATTTTTGGCCATAATATTACCATGTCTTTATGGCTTACTGATTTTGCAACTCTGTTTTTTTTTTACAGATACTCCTCTGTTTCTTTCTTCTCCTCTGTCCTCTCTCTCTCTCTTCTGTCTGTCAACCACGATGTTGAGCAGCAAAATGCAGCGCAGCTCCCATGGCAGCATGAAATCGTCGCTGTCGCTGCGCTCCAGCAGCAAATCCTTTCAGGCCAAAATGGATAAGATGTCGGAGCATCTGTACGATATTGTCAAGAGTGGCTCCATGGTGAAACGGGCCCAGAACAAGAAGCGTTTCACTCCAGTCAACTATAAACATCGCTGGTTCGAACTGACGAAGCGCACCTTCTGCTACTACGATGTCGAAAATGTTGAGGTGAGTGGAGGATCGAAAATATTTAGATATATGCCCAAGTTCTCTCCTTCTATATAGTCATATATTAGTATACAAAATATTAGATTGTGTAGTTAGAATGATTGGCAAATTGGATATATTTCTCCATGGAATTACATATCTTGATCAAAGTATGAAAGCGTCCAATATTCTAAATGAATCTACTACATATATTTGATACCTTCTATAGTGAAAATCGTATAGACCGGTATATTATAGACCTAACGATAAATTAGCTAATGTGCAGGATCAACTATCTATTTAAACTCTCTCCTTTGCCTTAGCTTAGCTTGTAGGGTATATTAGAGTTGAGCAAGTTTTGTGCATTTTGTAGCATTATCATTATTTACAAAATATTTTAGAAATATTTCTAGAGAGGCTAGTAGATTAACATTATAAGCGCAGTTGCTTAAACTTTTTTTTTTTTACAGGATACATTAAAGTCGACCAATCACCTCATAGCCTTTCTATACAAACTCTTTTAAGTTCCAGCAACACTCTCTCAACTTTTGCATAGTTTGCTGGGTATGGTAAAGTCGAGCTATCATTAGAGTTAGAATTAGTTTAAGTTTATATCAAAATGATATGGATATACTGTCTCGATACGTAGTTTGTAGGGTAAGTTAAAAACGGGCAAAAAATTAAAAATATGCCCTCAATCTACAGTAAATTTCTTATAGAAAATTATCTTGATATTCGCTGGGCTTCCTTTGTTTAGCTCAGGCAAGGGCGCAGACGGAAGGGGGGTTGGGGGTTGGGGGCTGGGGCGATGTTGGACTAGCCATTATTCATGTTTAAGTGGGTGTCTCGGCTTGTTGTCATGACTTCGTCATTTA